TAGATAGATAGATAGATAGATAGATAGATAGATAGATAGATAGATAGATAGATAGATAGATAGATAGATAGATAGATAGATAGATAGATAGATAGATAGATAGATAGATAGATAGATAGCCAAGAATAGTTTGCAGTAAAAATTTCTGTATCTACACCATTGTGCACCATATACCGTAACATCTGTGTTAACACATTGGCATTAAAGACCTGTATGACTGATGGTATATGCTGACCTCCTTTTGCAAAGAAAAAACGTATGAGTGATTTAGTACTTCTCTGAGCATTTGCTATAGTCTTGGATATTTGAGCCTTCCAAGATCCTGAGGACTGGAAGATCACACCCAGATATTTATAAGATTTATCTTGCTCAATTGGATGGTCATTTATTTGCCATTTGTGTGTGATTCGTTTCTTAGTAAACACTAAGACTTTTGATTTATCATAATTAATTACTAACTCCTCAGTTTTACAATAATTGCCCAGGGCTCTTAATAACCACCGTAAACCAACACAGGTTAATGAGAGAAGTACAACATCATCTGGGGTCTATCTGCTAGTTTAGGGGGATGAAAGTTGGTTCCAGATAGATTCTTGACCAAGGAGTTAATATAGATGTTGAATAAAGTGGGAGCCAATACACAACCTTGTTTGACGCCAGCATATGTGGGGATGGCCTTGGTGAGGTGACCTGCCCTGTTACATCTCACCTTCAACCTGTTTTTTTCATAGAGGCAGCGGATCAGGAGCAGGAGCCGCCTATCAATGTTGGTTGTCTCCAACTTCTGCCAAAGCCTGATAGGAAAAAAAAGTCTTACAAGGCACCATAGTGATCGCAAAAACCAATCGTCTTGCGGGTTTTGCGTACTGCAAGACAATAATCTAGCAAGGCACCACTGTATTTTGTAATTCCCATCAATTAATGTACCTCTCTGAATTTAGATTTTTCTATATACTTAGATTAAAACTAGGATGTAAATATAAGTTAAAACCTGGAGGGCAATCAAATAGAAGAAAAGCGGAAAGTCGAGTTAATATTGCAACATGAATACAGTCGGGTCTTGACTTGCGAACTTAATCCGTATTGGAAGGCAGTTCACAAGTCAAAAAGTTCGCAGGTCAAATCTGCATTTCCCACCTTGCTCCCGGCTCCTCCCCAGTGGCCCGAGGTTCGTATGTCAATTCTCCGTTCGCAAATCAAAATGGATTTTTGCAGACGGAGAAGTACGTAACTTGAAAAGTACGTACCTCGGGCCTTTCGCAAGTCAAGACCCCACTGTACATAAATAAATACATAAATAAAGATGATAATAATAATATGGCCTTTATGATGTTACCAACTGACTTCTTGCTCTTCTCTTTTAAATAATAATTCTTTAAACTCTAAGGAAGATGGTTTGCTCACCTGAACCAGGCAGGTAGGACAAGACTGCACACTGACTGTACCCCTATGACTGTACCTTGAGAAAGCAGGCTAATACTGGATTTTCTCCATGAGATAAAATCTGCTGAGACTTTGAGATTTTGCATTTTAACCTGGCAGCACACAATGTAGCAAAGCTAGTGAATTGCCAAATACTCAGGTAGTGATCATTTTAATCTGGATCTTGCAGTGGGGTCGGCATAAATCTGCAGCCAAATGGAACACAAACTATTTGGGTATTCTGGTCTTGTAGGGTTATACCAATGTCAATACAGTATTGCTATCTTCTGCCAAGTTCCAAGTAACATCAATTAACACGAACATTTATTTCACATTGAACTATTAAAAGAATTTCTGTGGTGATGTAACACAGGTTCAGAAACACACATGCTCACAAAGAAGAAAGGAAACTGATCACTGCTGTAAATCAAGCTCCTGCACTCCTGTCCTTGTCACCCGCTTTATCAAGATATATAACAGCAATCCTTTTCTGAGGCTTTATTCATAATCTATCTCATCTATTGAAATTCACACGGTGGTTTACACATTATACCCAAGGAGGCTGTACTGTGTACACTTACATGCAAACACAGTGATTTCCAAAGAGATTTGAATTGATTACTGGAAGTGCAGAACAAAATTGAAAAGGCAGCATCATTTGCAGACAAAGGCCAGGAATCATTATGAATCATTTTAGCAGTAACTGAGTTACATTTCAGAGAGACAGGTTTGCTTTCTCTCCTTGTCCCTTTCACCAAAATCAATGAGGTCACATATTTAAGCATGCCAGTAGCAACAGCTTTTTTTTAAAGAACCAAGAACTTTAAAAATGACATTTAAGGTTTAACAACCATAGTAACTTCAATCATTTAGTGAAGGAGCACTAATTAAAGCAATGTGTCAAGATTCCATGAGTAAAGATTTAAATGAGGAGACAAACTCCCACCTAGTCTTTCTCTCATGTTCTGGTTAATCTGCCGTGTAAAGCAGTTTTCCACACAATTCTGTAACATTGGTGTACATTTGCTGGCAGCAAAAAGTCACAGTATCATTTTTTGTATGAAAGCAAACTGTTCCTGAGAGACACAGGGGGTTACTAGATATAACATTATCCACCACACAGACACTCTTTGACAGTCATGCATAATCAGTCCTGTAGGGAAGACAGTCATTGCCCAAGGCACATCTGCATAACAAAAGCCAAGATGATGATGTGTGATATTGACTAAGAGAATTCTGTAGTGAGAGAGTAACACAGGGCTCCAGATACAATCCAGTGGGGATGTAGTTCATTGTTCGGCAAGGGAGAAAAGTAAACAATTTGTGAAATTATGTGTAGGAAATAGCAGATACTATACAGAGAAGGGACCATAATTCAGTGACAGAGCACATGCTTTTCAGGTAGAAGAAGGTCAAGGGTTCAATCCAGAACATTTCTAAGTAGGCCGAAAAATCTTAGAGAGCCAGTTGTCAATGCTCAGCTAGATGGATCAATAATCTATCTGGAATAAGGTAGCTTCCTGTATTCCTAACTCAAAAAAATTCAAAACAGTATGGCA